GGGACACCACGAGCGTAGCTCTCATCCTGTAACTACACTTAGGTAATTACTTAGGTAATTACACACACACACACACGCACACACACAGGTGTTATTAGGTGAGTACACACACACACACGCACACACACAGGTGTTATTAGGTGAGTACACACACACACACACGCGCGCGCGCGGGGCCTCGTAGCCTGGTGGATAGCGCGCAGGATTCGTAATTCTGTGGCGCGGGTTCGATTCCCGCACGAGGCAGAAACAAATGGGCAAAGTTTCTTTCACCCTGAATGCCCCTGTTACCGAGCAGTAAATAGGTACCTGGGAGTTAGTCAGCTGTCACGGGCTGCTTCCTGGGGTGTGTGTGGTGTGGAACAAAAAAATAGTAGTTAGTAAACAGTTGATTGACGTTGAGAGGCGGGCCGAAAGAGCAAAGCTCAACCCCCGCAAACACAACTAGGTGAATATACACACACTACACACATACACACTACACACACACACTACGCACACTACACACTACGCACACTACGCACACTACACACTACGCACACTACGCACACTACGCACACTACGCACACTACGCACACTACGCACACTACGCACACTACGCACACTACGCACACTACGCACACTACACACACACACACACACACACACACACACACACACACACACACACACACAGCGTGTGTGTGTGTACTAACCTAGTGTGTGTACTAGCACTAACCAAGTACTAACACACACACTAAACGTACTGGAGTGAACGATATGGAAGAAAATGCAGAATAGAACCAGTGAAGAGCAGGGGTACCATAAGCACAATTAGAGAACACTGTATAAACATCAGAGGTCCGCGGTTGTTCAACGTCCTCTCAGCGACTATAAGAAATATTGCCGGAAAAACCGTGGATATCTTCAAGAGAAAACTGGACTGTTTTCTAAGAGAAGTTCCGGATCAGCCGGGCTGTGGTGGGTATGTGGCCCTGCGGGCCGTTCCAAGCAACAGCCAGGTGGACCAAACTCCCACAAGTCGAGCCTGGCCTCGGGCCGGGCTTGGGGAGTAGAAGAACTCCCAGAACCCCATCAAGCAGGCCAGTACAACAAAGACAAGAAGCGATTGATCAAGGTAGTGTTCAGGAATGTGGCCCTCTAAGAGGACATCTTTGTAAAGAAGAGCATACTGAAAATGCAAGGAATTACAGAGACGTCCAGGGACGAGATAATAAAGGCAGCAGGTGCAAGGAAAATGCACAAGGAGAGGGATGGGAGCTAGGGAACCTCAGCCTCCAACCCAGCACTCCCAGAGGGGAGTAGGGACACGGGAGACATCTCCCGTCACGCAGGGTGCAGTCGCACCTCCACAAATCTCCAGTATCATCTATTGATACTGGTAATGGCTCAAAAGGGCCTCCACTTAAGGGCTATTCATGCCCGTGCCACCTTTTGGGTTGCTTAATCTTCATCGATCAATCATCAATCTGGAGTAGGGAAGCTCAATTCAAAACCCCAGATGGGATTGCAACACTCCCCACCACCACCACATAGGCCCCCACCACCACCACCACCCCATAGGCCCCCACCACCACCACCCCATAGGCCCCCCACCACCACCCCATAGGCCCCCCACCCCCAGCACAGATCCATCCTTGCCCCTACACAATATCATCATATTGCCCACCATATCATCCAACTCTTCCCTCTCCCCCTTACCCCGAGTATCCCCAGCCTTCCCATTACCTTGAGGTGATTTTGGGGCTTAGCGTCCCTGCGGCCTGGTCCTCGACCAGACCTCCTTTTTGTTACACTCTCCCAGGAAGCAGCCTGTAGCAGCTGTCTAACTCCCAGGTACCTATTTACTGCTAGGTAACAGGGTCATCAGGGTGAAAGAAACTGCCCATTTTTGTTTCCGCCTCCACCTGGGATCGAACCCGGAACCTCATGTCTACGAATTCGAAGTGCTGTCCACTCAGCTGTCGGCTCCCCTGGTTTTCCTCCTGCCCCAAGCAGGCCCAGGCAAGACCTAAGTCCTCCATCCTCCACCGAACCTCCCCCAAAACTCCCCCATAGGAGGGCGTGCCCTCGCCCCAAGCAATCCCTGCCCCCAAAACAAGCACTCATTGTCCCTCCCCCTTACCCCCAGGACTTCTTCCTGTCCCAAGTAGGCCTGGGCAAGACCTAAGCCCTCCATCCCCCACCCCACCTCCCCCCTGAACCCCTGGCAACTACCCAACAGGAGGATGAGCCTACCCAAGTAGCACTTCCCATGGAACAACTTCCTACACTTGGAGGGAGGGAGGGAGGGTGGGTGGGGGGGGGTGAAAATGGATATAGGAAAGTGAGCTTCAAGTTAATGTACTTAAACATCGATGGGATAACCAATACAGCAAGTGAACTGGCGGAAAGGGCGCAGGAAGAAAACCCAGATGTAATAGGACTCTCGAACAAAATTGTCAGGAATCATAACAGATGCTGTGTTTCTAAAGCACTACAATATAGTAAGGAAAGAGGGGGAAAGGGAAAGGAAGTGGAGGAGTGGCCTTGATGATAAGGAAGGACTGGAGTTTTGATGAAATGGAAATTCCGGGCTGCAACAGATTCAGAGATTACATAACAGGAACTATGACAAAGTTCCTCTTATGATAGGAACAAACTTCCAGGAGTTTGATAGGACCAACATAGATCAACCAATAGTATAAATAGAGAGATAGAGAGAGCATCTTCGGTTGCCTGCAGGAATGGCTCCGACTCTTGAAACTAATCATGGGTGATTTCGACCATGGAAAGAGACTGGGAAAATGGAGACACACACGGAGGTGCTGATACATGGAGAGCTAAACTCTTGGAAGTGGCAACAAGGAACTTTCTGAGCCAGCATGTCAGGTTACAAAAAAAATGAGAGGCAATGACGAACCAGCTAGACTCGACCCTATATTCATCTTGAATGAGTCAGAAATAAGGGAAGTCAAATTTGAAGCTTCCGTAGGAATGAGTAACCACAGTGTATTGACATTTGAGTATCCGGTGGAGGTAAGGATAGCCTATCCAAGGATGGGAAGACTAAAAACACACACGCACACTCGCTCACTCTCTCGCTCACTCTCTCGCTCACTCTCTCGCTCACACTCTCGCTCCACACTCGCTCACACACTCGCTCACACACTCGCTCACACACTCGCTCACACACTCGCTCACACACTCGCCCACACACTCGCTCACTCTTTGTTAGGCCAAAGCTAGAAAATGCAGCGGTTGTGTGGTGCCCATATCTTAAGAAGCACATCAAACTGGAAAAGGTGCAAAGACATGCTACTAAGTGGCTTCCAAAACTGAAGGGCAAGAGCTACAAGGAGAGGTTAGAGGCATTAAATATGCTAAAACTAGAAGACAGAAGAAAAAGAGGTGATATGATCACTACATGCAAAATAGTAACAGGAATTGATAAAATCGATAGGGAAGATTTCTCGAGACCTGGAACTTTAAGACCTTGGAACTCTGCTTTTCAACGGGGGTATTCTGCACATCCTGCCATGCCTTCTATTCTCATGTGATGTTATTTCTGTGTGCAGGTTTGGGACTAGCCCCTCTTATTATTTTCCACGTATAGATTATTATGTATCTCTCCCGCCTGCGCTCAAGGGAATACAGATTTAGGCTCTTTAGTCGATTCCAGTAATTTAGATGTTTTACCGAGTGGACTCTAGCAGTAAAGGATCTCTGCACGCTCTCCAGGTCAGCAATTTCTCCAGCTTTGAAAGGGACTGCCATTGTGCAGCAGTACTCTACTCTAGAGAGCACTAGCATTTTCAAAAGATTAAAATCATCATTGCTACAGCATCTCTAGTGTGAAAAGTTCTTGTTATCCAACTTGTCATATTTTTTTGCAGTTGTGACGGCTATTTTATTGTGTTCTTTAAAGGTAAGGTCTTTCGATATGAGTACACCCAGATCCTGTACATTGCCTTTTCGTTCTATGTTATGATTTGCCGAGTTTTATTCGTGGTTTCCATGTATAGATTATTATGTATCTCTCCCACCTGCGCGGGGTGGTTCTAGATAGTTTTCTATCACCCGAGGACCACATAAAGAACGTTGTACGAGGAGCCTATGCCACGCTTTCTAACTTCAGAATTGCTTTTAAATACATAGATGGCGAAATACTAAAGAAATTGTTCACGACTTTTGTTAGGCCAAAGCTAGAATATGCAGTGGTTGGTGTTCATATCTTTATTTTTTATTCACTTGTACTTGCATTATGTAGGTTAAAGATGGCTTTTCAAGTATAAACCTAAAATTAATTTTGTTTTAAACTATTACAGTATTGCAGTGTAGTTTTATTTCGATTAAGGATTACAAATGTTATTGAATTGTAAATAGTGTATATGTAACATGTACATCTATGATGGGCAATGGAATATTATAAGTGTTTATTTTCTTGTGTTGTAAATTAAGGATTATTACTTTTTTGAATAAAAAAGGGAATTAGCTATGCTTTAATTGAGCTAGTGTTGCAATTCAGTATTAGATTTATTTGAAGTAAGATTACAAGTATTATTTTACTGTTTAGTACAAAATTAAAGCATGTATAATGGAATGATTTTACTTCAGGTTTGTTCCATAAAATTGAGCAGAATTTTTCTTAAATAAATTTATTTTCTTGATTTAAATAAATCTATTATATTAATACAGTGATACATTTACCATTCTCACACTGAAAATCATAAATTTTTTTCAAACTACAATTGAAAAAATTTCAGAATATTAAGTACTGTATTGAGAAAAATAACTTGAGACTTCAACTATATTTTTTTAAAAGAAATTGAATTGGAATCGAGGCTTTTTAGTGGAATTAGTATCGGAATCATTAGAAATGTTAGTATCGAATCATTAATATTCACAGCTAGCAATATTCAAATTTCAGCAACATTTTGAGATTTATGCACTCTTATGAACTAAACATGTGTATCGAGTGACTAAATTATGTTTACATTAAATAATTTTTTTGCCCACAGACAAATGGTGGCACGAAGTATACAGGAGACACTGCGAGCAGTGGTGGCCATCCCAGATGACGTCCACTCTGTCTTGGAAATAATGGCATCGCTCTCCTCAAATGATGGTATTTTTAACTTTTTATTGTTTATATATAAACTTCAAGAATTAAGTGTTCATGCCAGGGATACCTTATGCTTTTTATTGAGTACTGTACTGTGTGTTTTTTATTTTTTTATGGTAATATTGAAGTATGGCATCATTGTAGTGGATAAATGCATGACCATGCAAGTCAAGTCCTTATTGTTATTGGATGATGTATTCCTCTGTACTCTTCCCTCATTTTCCTTCTCATTTACAGTTTGTTTTACAAAGTTTTGCTCGACCCAGTTTCATTTGTCTTAATTGCATTAAATATACAGTATACCTGTTTAAATATCTATCCATCTTTGCATAGTACAGTTTGAGCAGAACCATTTTATATAGTGGCTCCTTGAACATTTGGGGTACACTATATCAATCAAGACATGAGGGATTCATAAATACTATACTGTATGAATTCGTTTATGCAGTGCCCCTTTAATCCAGACCTTTGGGTTATCCTGATGATATTGAGTCCAAATTTTTGTCTGTTAAACTTCACCATATCCATAGGGAAAGGCAGATAATGGGGAATTTGGCCAGATGAACGAGGATGGCATTGGACTATACTATATTAATCCTGTAAGACTCTGAATGTGCGGGGAATAGTTATCTTGTGATTCTGAGAATCTGATATGAGAATGTGAGTACTGTAGCAAGCACAGTACCCTGGGGGGGACTGAGCTTTTTCACAGTGGATGATTCGGATTTTATTTTGCCGTCTATTACCCACTTGGTTCTGTTAGTAATTCCATATGAACGCATTACTTTTGCAATAACAACATGATCACATTTGTCAAAGGATTTTGCTAAATTTGTACAGTATATTACACGAGCATTTTTCTTGCCTACATACCCCAACTTTTGCTTGTTAACCTAACCCAGAGAGGTTAGAGTAGCAGACCCAGACATCTGGAATTCAGTATTCCTCAAGAATTGATAAAAACCATTATCACAGGCCCTAAACATCCTTTGAAGACAGAGCCTAGATACCGGTATTTTTCCCGACATAAAACAGTAGAGATCATGCCACTAACAAAGGAGGTAGTAAAATTATAAAAATCTTTGAAAGTGCTAAAAAGTGATCCATGTGATTACAGAACATATGGAATCAGTACTATATCTACATAACCCTGGGCAACATAGATTCAGAACAGGGTGCACCTGCCTCTTACAGTGAGGGGGAGAGAGATCAAGGGAGTCATCACACCAGACCTGTCCTTTAACCCTTAAACCAGTATTTAACATTAAACTGTTAAATAGTCAACATCCCCAGGCCGCCCAAGAAAAAAATTGTTCTGGGAAAATTATTTTTTCTTATAACATTGTTAATTAGCCTTCAGGGAACACAAAATCCAAATAAAATGTGTCTAGCTCTTGTAGTTTAGCTGTAGTGGCCTGGAAAAGTTGCATATTTTTAGTTGGTGTCGTATAGGAGTAACTTTGTTGATATATTTTCATTGTTTCTCAATTTATTTATTTAGTTTTTTTCATGCTAACAGGTTGTATTTATGCATCAGTTACTGTCTATTACTGTATGTAAAACTTTGAAAATATATGTATGGATATACAAGTATAGATATTCAGACACCCACATACTTATTCATAATAATACATGTATACAGCTGTATATATATTATAAGCCTAAATTTTAAAAATGCATATAGCACACATTTTACCTCAAATATATACATGGTAATCACTCATTTGCTGTTGCTAAAAGTTTAGTGGTCAGGTGAGGTGAAGGGTGGTAGCAACAAGACGACAGTGAACCATGATCAGTCTAACTCCAATAGTGGTTCATTACAAACGTTTGAGAGATATCTGCAACATTTACTAACAGCAATGTAACACTAAACGTGTTCAATTCCTACCCTCACAAGACTCTGCAGCCTCGACACAGAGCAGACAGCCTGACTCCGGCCGCATAGAGCTTCCACGCTCTCATCCCGCACACTTGAGCTCCTCGACTCTGCCTGCATTCAGAGCACCATACTCTACACACTCACCCTGCATCTGAACTCTCCACCCCCGGCCTCACTCAGCTCTCTGCCCTGCTCCAAGCTTTATCTCAATTAGTACAACACTTCTCTACATTGCTGTAACCAAGACTATGTTAAATAAATATAAAAAAAAAACACTAAATTGTGTGTAATAAACCAAATACGCACACGTAAACATACGTTACCAAAGTCTTTCAATGGGCCACAGAAAATAACACGTTTAATGAGGATAAGTTCCAATTACTGTACTGTGCTTTGGAAAAAATGGAAAACACCAAAGCAGAAATCATACATAAAGCACAGTCATAGTATACTATTGAAAGATAAAGCAGTGTAAAAGATTTAGGAGTAATCATGTTGGAAGTCATTACTTTTAAAGGTTACAACAAAGTTGCAGTCACACCTACAAGAAAAATGACAGGTTGGATAACAAGAACCTTCCAAACAAAAGATGCCATGCCAGTGATACTTTTTTAGACATTAGTGCTCTCTGGAGTTGAATATTGTTGCACACCATCAGCCCCATTCAAAACGTAAGAAATTGCTGACCTGGAGAAAGTTAAAAACATCCTTTACCGCTGAAATCCTCTCAATAAAATACCTACATTTTTGGAACTGCCTAAAAATGTTTAAATCTGTGTTCCTAGAGTGCAGGCAGGAGAAATACATAATAGATAGGCACGTTGAAAGAGAACTCGATCAACATCAAAAGCCCAAGACTTTTCAACACACTTCTCCTTCACATATGGGGCATAACTAGCCGACCTCTCGCAGAGTTCGAAAGAGAACTCGACACGGATCTTCAAAGAATACCTGATAGACCAGACTGTGACTCGTACATCAGGCTGTGAGCAGCAGCATCAAACAGCCTTGTGGATGAGACCAGGAGGAGGAGGGAGGGGGGGAGAGAGAGAGAGGGGGAGGATGGGGAGAGGGAGAGACATTCATCCCTGGAACCTTCAACATGTAATAGGTAGCCTTCCATGGCATCTAAGGCCATGTCATACTGGTCTAGCAATTGTGGTAGGCAAGAGTGCCCTGTTCTGAACCGTGTTATCCAGGGTTATGCAGATGGTGTGAAACCGTGTGTTTTGTGATTCCTACTTCTAAGCACTCGTTGAAAGAGTTTTATGACAAGTGAAGTTTGTGCTATTGGTATATAATTTTTTGCCTATGCTTTATTCCCTCCGTTATGGAGTTGTGCTATCTCTGCTGTTTTGAGTACAATATGTCAGTGATAACACCAGTATCTAGGCTACATTTTCTAAAAAAAATATTAAGGGTATGCAATTTTTTTTTTATTCTTAATTAATGTGGAATTTCAGGAATCGGGGCCTGATGCAGAGTGCATAGGCATACATCTCTGGCTACTTCAAAATTGTTAATGAATGGATGTTACTTTAGACTTGCATAATTACCTTAATATATCTCTTGTTCTTGAGAATTACTGAATAAATACCAAATGTATGTAACATTAAATGTAGTGTATTGTATAGATACATGGTGTCAAGTAATTTTTGTTTCTGTATACAGAAGCTGCTGTACGGACAGAACTCATGGAGCAGGTGCCTCAGATTGCAGTCCTGTGCCATGAGTATCCAGACAATTTAGGTGGTGTTGTGGCAAACAACTTGGTGCCTATGGTTGTTAAATATCTCACAGATCCAAACAATCAGGTAAAAAAAATTTTCTACATTGTACTGTTTCTAGCATGTATAAATAACTAGTTGAACTCGACACAAGATTAAATTAAAAAAATCTATGTTCTGCATGTACCTGGTTTTCTGGTGTCCTTGCTTATACAAATCAGTTGCTGGTCCTAGACAAATGTTACCAAGGAAAACAATGGTAACCGTATGCATAATTTCATTAGTAAATGCTCATGAAAGTACTGTAATAAAAAAAAAACATTTTGGTTGGGGATAAATCATTGACTGCTGATCCTGGGTTACTTGCTTATCCTGTTGCTTGATACCATGGCACAGTATCAACATTACAAATTTGTAAATTTATATGTTGTGGAAAATGCTAACCATTTAGATATGACTTTTTTTTCCTCATGCTTTCCATGGTTTTAAATGGGGTTAAAAAAAAGGTAGAATTTTATCAACCCATCCTTTAACAATTTTAGTACCTATAGCAACTATGGAAGGCATGTGCAAAATGTGGACTTTGTAACCCTTACCCCCCAGAGTATGTTTTGTGATATTGGAATTCTAAACGACATTTCAAAAACTTACAGCCTACCCATCAAACTATAAAAGTAATAAGATTTGATTACTGAATCAATTTGAATCTGATTACAGTAATCAGATCAGAAACCTAACATATAATCTTTGGTCTAATTTAGCACATAATCAAAAATGTACTATAGAAACAAGCTTGGCATTTAACATACCTAAGAAAAGATTGATTTTATTGTTGCCTTCTTTCTTTGGCTCTTGGAACTCTATAGTACAAAATGTAGACATTTTTTACAGCAACAGTTACATTTTGTAAATTCCACCCATAGTACTGTATCTATAGGTACTATAATTTTTGGAAGACATGTTGATTTTATTTATTCCTTTTGATTTTATTCCTTATGATTTTATTATTCCTTTATTTTCTTAGAATAATTATCTCCTATTTTGAGAGGTACAAATAATTTTTTTTTTTTAAATCAATGTTGTCCATTTTGTAATAAAGCATGGTCCAAGTAACTCGTCTACAAGACAAAATTATTTTTGCAGTATGAAAGTTTATATTTCTAGTTGGTATTTCTTTACATTAGTTCCCTACAGTCAAGCTTCATCCATGTTTCTGTGATTATAATAATGTCATTTATTTCTGTGCATGTGAGTGCCGTGTTTGTCTTGTAGGTCGTTATCTTAATGCTCTTGTCCGTCATTTCATTACTGTAACTATCTCGAGAACTATCAATAATTAGTCAATATGTCTTATTACCCCAATATTTTTCCTCAACAGTACCACACAAGTTTGGTTAACAGCTTTACAATTTGTCGTCTTGTTTACAAGTTTACTCAACTTGTTTAAATGTTGACATATACTCAAAATTTACCCTTCCATTGAAGTTGATAATGCAACCAGTCGTACTTTGTAAATATGCACCCTTTCCCTGTCATAAATATAAAAATCTATCATGTAAGTTGTCCCATTTATCAGGGAATGATAGTATAAATTTTTTATTTGTCCATCTGGTAGTTAATGCCAGTTAATCATTGCCAATTCATGCTTTAGATAAAATGCCACATGGAGCGTCCTTCCATGGTTGTAGTTAACTTGGTAGCTGTCCAATATTTGATGGGCAATTCATCACCTGTCTCGACCGGTGGGGGAGCCGGTCGGCCGAGCGGTCAGCATGCTGGACTTATGATCCTGTGGTCTCGGGTTCGATCCCGGGCACCGGCGAGAAACAATGGGCAGAGTTTCTTTCACCCTATGCCTCTGTTACCTAGCAGTAAAATAGGTACCTGGGTGGTAGTCAGCTGTCACGGGCTGCTTGCTGGGGGTGGAGGCCTGGTCAAGGACCAGGCCGCGGGGACACTAAAGCCCCGAAATTATCTCAAGAAAACCTACATTTCCCACCTATATTGTTATTGTCATTAGCTTCTAGACATAGAGGGTGAATGAGACCCCAATTCATACCATTGTCTTCTGCTGACAATATATTAATTTTCAATCTTGGAAAGTACACCTGCATATTTGTCCTTCCTGTTCTTAGTGTAGAATGTCCTAATCATATTTCCAAACAGAGTCCCCCTAGATATCAAGATACTGTATTCTTTTTTTTTCTCAATGCACTTAGGTGTTTCACTTCTGATATTCCATGCTTTCTTATTGTGCACATCCTGTAAATAATAGTTTTTTCATTGAGAGTTTTGGCCTATTCTGTTTACTATCTTCCAAGTATCTGGCTAGGTCTCCCTGTGTTTGAGTAATTCTTTCACATGCTCATAACACACACAAACTCGACTTCCTCTGTCAATCTCTCTTCCAAACCAGGCCTTGCAAGAAGCTAATCCCCATGTTGTAACTAACACTGTTCAACATAGCCACCCTTGAAAATCTGACCAAGCATATTTAGAGGGATATATTCATATAATTTTGTCAAGCATTAAGAAGAAGAATATTTCTACTTAATGATTAAACGTGTTTCCCTTTCTCATTCATTTTAGGTTCGGAAAACTTCCCAGGCAGCACTCTTGGTGTTGCTGGAACAGGAACTAGTAAGTCGAGACGACGTGCATGACCAGGTGTGTCCTGTCATACTTAACCTTACCAACACAGACGCCATGGATGACTTCAAAACCGAGGCAGTAGCGGTGAGTTATTTGCATCTTAAGACATGATTTCAGAACACACACACACTTACTCTTAGATTATTTAAGTGTATTTACTAAGTAATTAATTAAGATATACTGTAATTCAAATGTAATTACGAAGTGTACAAACATGAGCATGCTCTCACTCCCATTCACTCACTATGAATTTCTGAAACGAGCAACTTCAAGAACAAGAGGACACCGATTCAAGCTATGGAAACAAAGGTGCCGAAGAAATATTAGTTTTCTTTTGCAAACAATAGTAGTACATGAAGTACTGTAGTAGATGATTGGAACAAGTTTAGTAAGGAGGTGGTGGATGCCAAAACCGCCGGGGAGTTTCAAAGCGTTATACGACAAAGACAGACAGAATACCACGAGAGTAGCTCTCATCCTGTAACTACACTTAGGTAATTACAGTACAGTACTTAAGTAATTACATACACAATTTAAATGTGGAGGGCTGAGTAGACAGCGATCAGAGTTCATAGTCCTAAGGGGGCCCGGGTTCGATTCCTGGCCGAGAAAGAAACAAATGCAGTAGGTAGTTTTTCTTTTGCCCTGATGCTGCTGTTCTCCTACCAGTAAATACATATCTGGGAGTTACAGCTGCTATGGGCCGCTTCCTGGGGATGTGTGTATATTACACACATCTTTCTCGATAGAGAGAGATCTTTCTCTCTCTATCTTTCTCTTTCTATCTTTCTCTCTCTTTCTATCTTTCTCTTTCTATCTTTCTCTCTCTTTCTATCTTTCTCTCTCTTTCTATCTTTCTCTCTCTTTCTATCTTTCTCTCTCTTTCTATCTTTCTCTATCTTTCTCTTTTTCTATCTTTTTCTATCTCTTTTTCTATCTCTATCTTTCTCTTTTTTTCTTTTTTTTCTTTTTTTCTTTCTTTCTCTTTCTCTCTTTCTCTTTCTTTCTCTTTCTCTTTCTCTCTTTCTCTTTCTCTCTTTCTCTTTCTCTCTCTTTCTCTTTCTCTCTTTCTCTTTCTTTCTCTCTCTTTCTCTTTTCTTTCTTTTCCATTTTTTTTTTTCATTTTTTTCTCTCCACTTGCTCTCTGTCTCTGGTGCGCTTGCTCAGGGTTTGTCAATGTCCATATAAGTGTCAAGAAGTGATGCAAATGTTTAGAGAGATTATTGAGGAAGAAATAGGTAAGGGTTTCATTGGGATATTAGTCATGGTTGAGGCTTTGATCAGGATTTATAAAGGATAACTTATATATGAAAAGGAAAATGAAGATCTAAAAAAATATATAGCTTACTACAAGTAATACATACACACAAGTAATCACCTTATGAGATTTTCTTCTCGTATTGGAATCCTTTGTGATATTTTGTGCCTTTTGAATATCGCACCCATTTGACGGTGCTATATAGCCACCCGGGCTTGGTGCCTTCTTTTGATAATTTCTTACTTACTACAAGTAAGCATTTCACTGCAGGAGGAAATTATTGGTTTCACTGACAAGGTTATGAGATCTGAGGCAGCAATTAAGGAACTAGTGAAATAAAATGATGAAATGAATGGGCAGACAAATTTAAAGATATTAACAGGGAAGTTTTCACATAGAAAAGAACTCGGAGTAACACTACATGCTAGCCAACACGAGGAATTAGGCAAGAATATAGGCATGGACAGCTCAAGTAAAGGAGCTTAATAAAGGATTGGAAAAGTACTAAGAGGAATTATAAGAAATGGACACAAGATGTAAAAGAAACAATAAAAAAAAGTGTACGTGTTTGGAAGTCAAAAGCAGAAATGAGCAAAAAGATACATTGGGCAAGGAATTAGGACAAACTGGTTACCAGCAGTAAATTAACCCTTAGACATGGGGTAATGCAGTTATTAATTAAGATTGATTATTATCTGGGTTTTACATTCACGATGCAAATAAGGATATAATAGCTCACCGTGGGTGTCATGGAGCTTACACAGAGTATTCACACTAACGTGATGCATCAATGCATCAATGAGAAATTCTGTAAGAGCCGTGATGAGTATTCGAACCTATGCTGTGTGTGTTCACAGGCGCACACTCTAGACAACTAGGCCACGACATGGTAAAAGGATTGCAACTTGGGGTACTAAAACCTGGGGTTCTACTGTACCTACGAGGATTCCCAAGGTTTCCACTGAAGCCCAGCCGGGCTGTGGTAGATATATGGGCCTGCGGGCTGCTCCAAGCAACAACCTGTTGGACCAAGCTCTCACAAGTCGAGCCTGGCCTTGGGCCCTGCTTGGGGAATAGAAGAACTTCCAGAACCCCCCTTCAATCAGGTTGCCATAAAAATCAAGTCATTGAAGCCGAACTAGAGTTTGACAAAGTCCCCCCATGCACTCTGGCTCTGTCATCTAGGAATGTTGCATCTTGTTAGTGTGATTACTCTGTGTATTGAAAAAAAAAATGAGCGTCAATAGGTAGAACATTCCTAGATAACAGAGCCAGAGTGCTCAGTGGGAATTGTGTGAGAGTGGTTCGGCTTCAATGGAAGCCTTGGAAATCATCGTACTTACGTGGTACTACTGGGGTGCAGTAGTACCCCAGGTTGTGATCCTTTTACCATGTCATGGCCTAGTTGTTTTTAGTGTGTGCTTGGGAACACCCATCGCATAGGTTCGAATCCTCATCACGGCACCTATGGATTTTCTTGTGGAGCTTACCTATGAAAAAAATCCTGTTATCCATTCATGGTCATGTTCAATGTGAATTGTCATGCATGTTACTAAGCGAATGTGGTCAATGTTTAAAAGTCCAACATAGTTACATGATATGTATACTAATGATGTTCATATGGTTTTCATGACTGTATGGTTGTAATGAGGAATACCAGATAAACCAGTCATCAATTGAACCATTATCATGCTATGTGTGTACTAAGAGCCTGCTGTTGTCTGTGGGTTGCAAATTGGTGGCTTATGCCTTTGTTTCACTCTGTACTCTCACCCATACCATGCCAATTAGACCACATATCATCACCCATAGCCAAACACTATTTTAAATTGTTTATATGCTTTCCACTACATTATATGGTTGTAATGAAACCAATTATCAATTGAAGCATTATCATGTGTTACGTGAATTGTGATTTATCAAGTTATTCAACACACATGCTCTTGTAAATAAAGAAGAGAAACGAGTGATAAACAATCAATGAAACATCCAAGGATAACATAAGAGTAGTGTCTTGCAGACCTCAGTCTCATCAAATTTGGCATTGTGTATTGACAGTGCGTTTGGAGCCGACATGGTGCACGGATGTTTCTTGATTGCGCAGATATGTCCAACAAAGTCAAAGAATGAACACTCCAGCCTAATGACAAATCAAAACAATGTGCCATGAACCTGTGATGTCTCGGGGTAGAAGGCATTAGAGTGGTGGACCAAGTGGCTGTCTGTTCAAAATATATCTTGCCTGAATGTTACTTGAAATATTACCGACACTTAACAATTTCGGAAATTCCGGAGCCCCGCATTTAACGACCTGGGTACAGCCCCATATTAGGCCGTTAAATCGAGGGATTCTGTATATTCGTTTTTTTTCCCCCACTTGGCAAAGAATGACCATTTTTCTATAGCCGCTGAACAGGGGTTAATAGAAAACACTGTAGATAGAAATAAGCGTATAATAATTGCTGGTTACAGTATTTGGAAAAGGAAATACAGTACCATCTGAGATAGACCAGCAAAAGAGGAAAAAATAATTGAGAAATTAATGGATTGAGGAGAAGGCATTACCACAAAAGAAAATGTCAGTAATTTTAGGAGGATAGGCAAATATGAAAAATATAAGAATTGCCCCCTTAAGGATGATATATAATGAAGTGAAACAAATGATGAGTGCTTAGGACGGCAGGAAATTATAGGATGATGTGATTGGAAAACTATGGTCATCAAGATGAAACCTTGCAAAGGAAACAAAAAAACTATAACTAAACCTTGATGAAGTGAGATGAGAGTAGGAACAAAGACATATTTATTCTATAAGATGATAGGAATTGGGAAGCCTGTGAAATGGCACATAAAAACAAACCAACAATATCATTAGAGGAAGGGAGAGTAAAGGAGGGAATGTGTTCTTAAAAATTTGTGTACTGACACAACTTTAGGGAGACGATAATAAAATATTGAAGCAAAATGATATAATTCAGCTTAAGATACCAGTTATTGTCACACAACAGACAAAGCATTAAGAAAATATTTTAAATGAGGTAATATTACCAAAGGGCTACTCTATTCGGCGGCATGACAAAAATTTGAAACGGTGGAGGCATATCATTGCTGGTGAAAGAATACCCATAGGTAAGAGTATCAATAGTCGGCAATTCACAAGTTGACATAATATAATGGTAGTGAAGATTTGTAATCAGGATGATAAAACTGATAATGATAATGCCTACAATCCACCAGGAAGCAATGCATAAGTAAAGGAGGCATTGAATGGCAAATGAAAGGATCTCATGATGATCATGAGAGATTTTATCTGATCTTACTATAGATAAATCTTGAGGTTTGGTACTTTGTGACATCAACTTTAAAATCAATAGACTGGGAGGCCTCCAAAACAAGACTTCCATCATGGCCAAAGTATGCCACAACATTTTTTTAGTACCCCCATAATCATAAAATGCATTTTAACAATTCAGTATTAGAAAAACAAGTTGGGGGAATACATTTTCTGCACACTAAACACACTGTAGATTGATGACAAAAAAATTCAAGAAAGTGATACCAACATCAAATCATATATCAGATCTCACACTAACCCCATTGGATGTTAAAGTAGCGATAGACAGTATGCCTATGTACTCTGCACCAGGATCTGATTCCTGGAATTCCTTGTTCATCAATTGCAATAAAACCACTATTGTAGTTTCATTAACTACCATATTCCATGTTTTTGGAGATGAAGCCTAAATACAGTACCGTTGACACTAAAAACAGCAAAGATAATGCCACTCCTAAAAAGAGAGACTAAAGCAGAGGCAAAAAATTGCAGATCGATTGCACTAACATAAAAATCTGGCACTAAGAAGTAAGATAACAAAACACACGGGATCAGTGTCTATGTAATCCTGGACACAACATGGGTTCAAAACAGGGTGCTCTTTCCTCTCACAATTGCTAGTCTACTATGATATGGCTTTAGATGCAGTGAAAGAAAAAACGAAACCTTTATATAATGTACACACTTTGCAAAAGCCTTCGACAAATGTGACCATTGTATTATTGTATACAAAATGTGCTCAAAGAAAATGTGCAGGAAAAATAAGAAGGTTAGTACCGCAGGGTACTGTGCTTGCTCCAGTACTTTTTCGCAATCTATAGTACTGTATCTACTGTAACTTCAAAGTAGGTCATATAACAGAGGTACCAGTACTGTACTGGGAAGACGGGACATCTTGCGGTCATCTTGAGATGATTTCGGGGCTTAGCGTCCCCACGGCCTGGTCCTCAACCAGGCCTCCTTTTTGTTACACATCCCCAGGAAGCCACCCATAGCAGCTGTCTAACTCCCAGGTACCTATTTACTGCTAGGTGAACAGGTGCATCAGGGTGAAAGAAACTCTGCCCATTTGTTTCCACCTCCACTGGGGATCGAACCCCGGAACCTCAGGACTACAAATTCTGAGCGCTGTCCACTCAACTGTCAGACCCCCCCCCCCCCAA